TTAATTTTATTATACGAAATTTAATCGTAATTGTAGTTTAGACAATCTTTTTAGGTGGACTTCCGTCTTGGCGGAAGGTGGTACTCGCACGAAGGGTTCTGTTAAATACTTAAATAGTCCTATTAATTTTAAATAAGATAAGATGATAAAATATTTAAATGATATAAAAATATAAAAATGATTTAATTTAAAATTTTAATAAAAATTATATATATGTTTGAATAATATAAAAAATATGTTTTATATTTAATAAATCAAAGTTTAATATGATAATTTTTTGTATATTATGTATTTAACATGATACCAACACAATATCTACTTGATTGCATCGATGAATAGAGCCTTTCCTTCCCGAGCTATGGAAACAAAGAAAGAGGCTCATTAGTTGGAAGTTATAGAGAAGATCGAGGAGAAGAAGAAAGTGGAATTAAGGATGGCAATCCAACTTATGCTTAATAAATTTTGATTTGATTTGATTTTTTATAATTGATATTTTTTTAATCGAATTTAAGATCGATTAATTGTAGAATAAAATTAAATTAATTTTTAGATAAATTTGTGTGACTCAATTTAGTATATATAAAAAAAATATTTTTAATTAATTATTTAATTTTATATTTATATATATTTATATTAAAAAATAATTTTTTATTAATTCAAATTGAATCAAGTACATTTTATATAATATTATATTGAGTTTGAAAATAAAAAATAAAAAAAATTATTTGAATCAATTTTAAATATTATAAATATAAAATCGAATCGAATTTAAAATTAATAAAAATTTCTTCCATCTCGATCCATTGTTATACTTATATGGATTTAACTGAAAATGTAGGGTTCGACTAGAAGGGTGGTTTTGCCTGCCCATTTTCAATGATATTCAAAGTATTGCCTTGGCTGCCTCGAAAGGGAGTTTGAACAAATGCACGGTTTCTTGTTCTGGTGATGATCTTCCAACCTGCATATTTGGGTGTGTTTCATATTTTTATTTGAAAATTTCAGAATTTTTTTATAAAAAATATTTTACAACTATAAATTTCAACCAAAACCATGCTAGTAGAATTGTATGGGCTCTTCCGGATCTTCAAATTAAGAGGAATAAAATCAGAACCATGCTAATTAATGGCGATGCATCGATCGACTCTTGATGCTCAAAGCAACCCAAATTCAAGGAACTCTCGGCAGCTGTTGCCTGTTGGCATAATAAGAAAAATAAACAGATATGAAATTGCTAGATTCAAGTAATTATTCAATAATATAAATATATTCGAATATTACTTTTTTAATAAAAATCTTTGAAAAATAATTTGAGATTAAAAAATTTTATAATTACTATTTAAAATTTATATTTAATACATTGTAAATATATATAAAATTTTAATATTTTATAATTTTAACAACTGAAGTGTTCTGGGCCTCCACAGAGAAACATAAGGGGTTGTTCTATTGGGAAGAGGGGTAGACTTAACACAGCCCAACCATTAATTGAACGGTTTAACTTCTTTTTATCTTCGGCTTTTGACCATAATTTCGTTGCTTTTAATTCAAAGATTAATTATATATAGATTTAAAAAATAAGATAGAAAGGCTCTGAAAATCTTAAATTTTAGGTTTAAATTTTTATTGTATGTGAATTGAATTGAATTTAATATTAAATTTATTTAATTATATTTTAATTTATTAATTAGTTTATTTAAATATTTAGAATTTATTATACATGAAAGTAATATGTAATTATTGTAGGATGTAAAGTGACAAATAAAATAATTCGAAAATAATATATCGTAATAAATTTATAATAAATAAATAATAATTAATAATATAAAATAAATAATTCAATAAATACTTTTAAATGTAATTATTTATCATTTAAAATAAAAAAGAATGAGACGTGAACATGCTAACAAAATTTTAATTTAATCAAACCACAAATTAGCTTACATTTAACTTCTTAATTAAACTAGCAGCCTTTACTATATTTTGATTATTTTCTCTCATGCCTTGACAATTTCTTTTGTCTCACTGACGGCTCAACCTATTTCTCACGCCTAATAACTCAGCCCCACCTCGTTCTTATCTAGGCCTTTCTTTATCCATTGGCTTTTAATTAGCCGAAGAGATTGGGGGTGAACCCCACTTATATAACAACTATAATTGTAACTTTTATACTTAAAATTTTATTGAAAACAGTAAGGATAGGCATGGAAGTTGCCTATTGCAACTTGGATTTTCGGTGAATCCAATCCATTTGGAAAAATAGAAATAAAAATTATAAATTAGACTTAAAAATTTTAAATATAAAATAATAACATAGCTATGAAATATCAAGTCGAGGTTCGAATTATTTTGTTGATTTTTAAATATATCGTCCAATTTTCTCTTTAAACCTCATCATTTTTCTTTAAAAAAATCCGCATAACAAAAATTAAATTTATCATTTAATGAATTACAATTTTATTCTCCTTTTGTTTTTCTTTTCTTCATTTTTCATCATTTTTCATTATTCTTTCTCTCTTACCCAGTCAAATATGATTTTTTTTATATTTTTAAATATTTATTTCGAGAATACAGCATAATTTTTATAACTAAATTTTCGAGATTTATGTTATTATTTTAAAAAATAAGGTTTTTCAAAAATAAATTTTCGAAATTTTTTTTTTGAAAATCTTAAAGATTTTTCGAAAATACATTTTTGAGGAGTTTGAATTTTATAAAATTTATTTCATAAATTTTAATTTATTTTCGCATGTATTTAAATTAGATCAAATAAAATAAATTTTAAAATTTTATTTTTAATCAATGAAAGACTAAAAAAAATATAATTTTAAGATTAATTTGATGAATTTAAAATTAATTTGATTGATTTAGAGTTAATTTAGAGTCGAGATTGAAGAGAGAAAAAAAAAATGAAAAAATGTTTACGGTATAAAAAAAAAATTGTTGAAAAATTAGGTGTATTTAATAAAAAAATTTAAATTTGAATTTGAGATATAATTACTAATAAAATGTACAAAATAAAATTAGAGATATAAATAAAATTTCCAATATTTTTTTATCCGCATCTCATCACTCCATTCAAATTTTGCTGTCCTCCATGCTTTCGTTGCTGGTATTAGGGGGCCCATCCTTCTGCCAATCTGCTGCATCCTCAGATGCTCTTTTATAGGTTAAAAATGGCTGCAATGCAAACTTAATTTTTTTAAATATTCTAAAGTCTTCCATGAGATTTAAATCTTGATATACCACAAATATTTAAGATATTCATTGAAAGTGAGGATAAGCTACATCTTGCTTTACTGTTTTAGATTTAGGCTCCATTTAGATGAACAATAAAATTAATTGTGTGAGATTAAAAATAATAATAAAACTATTATAATTATGATTGAAAATAAATTTTAATAAAAAATTTATATTAAATAAATTTCATTATAATTAACAATTAAATTAAACTGATGATATTATAAATTCAGTGGTATCACATCAAATATGGAGTTGAATCTAAATGAGCATTTAAATATGGTAAAAGGCATACCCTGGACTTTGGAGTTTCTAATTACAGATTTAAATTTTTTAAACAAATTATTTATAAATTTAGTAAAATAAATAAAATATATATTTTATATTTTTATGTTAATATAAAATATAATACATAATTTTTATATAAAATACAATATAAAATATATAAACTATTAATATTTTATATTATAAAAAAATTATAGTGCAAATAAAAATACAAATAAAAATGAACGTGACCAGCAATCTATTCGGCCAATCAACACCAACCGAATCTCGTTATCTTGTCTACACCACCTCTTAATTTTTAGCAGCCCAAATTAAAGCAAGAGTATGTATTAGTCCCTCTTCCAACCTCAATTATACGTAGATAGGATAATTATATAAAATATTATATTTATATCATATTTTATATAAAAATTATATATCATAACTTATATTAATATAAAAATATAAAATATTAATTTTATTAATTTTATTTATAATTTTTTAAAAATTTTAAATTATATTATTTTTATATTTTTATTTATATCATATCCTCATATTTTAAATCGATAAATCGACAAATTTAATGAAAGGAAAAGCAACCTAACAAAAATGTTGACGTCAATGAAGAAAAAAGAAACAGGAAATTACGAAAAATTTCAACGTTGCATGTACATTTTTCATTGATGTCATTATCTGCGTGTGTTAAATCAGTGACGTGATTATATTTTATTAAATTTACAAATTACATGACATTTTTTTATCAGCCAGTTATTTATTAATAACATATAATGAATAATAAATAATTAAAATTTTAATAATATAATGATTTAATATGATTTGAATGAAATATATATAATAATATGAAGTGATGGATTTATATAATTTTTTTTTTTGTTATATGGTATTTTTATTAGTTAAAGACATGAATCTAAAATTTTTTTCCCATTAATTTAACAGTTTAAGTCATCAAAATAACTATAATTGTCAACGGATAGAGATTCAATAAGAAAAATATAGACTTTATCCTTTATTTGCGTACATAACTTAAAAAATATAACCAAAAAAAAAAAAAAAAACTTAAATCCTTTAATTGCGAGTGAGACATTTTGGATGATGGAGCTCTTTTTTAGTGCAAATGAATCATGGTATAGAAAGGAAAAAAAATTATAAATGATGAAATTTAAATTGATATTTATTTGATGTTATTTTTTAAAATTGATTTATGAATTAATTAAGTTTTGTTTTTTATTGTGAACCAATTAATTGAATTTTAAATTCATTTAAGAATTAAATTAAATTTATAAAAAAAGGAACAAATATATCCAAAAAAAAAAAAAAAGAACTACCTCCAATCGGTAAAAATGGAAATAAATCTGCTCATATCAGCTTTTTACCTCTTTATGCCAATGGATACGACAAAAATCCTTGTTTTAAAGACATCATCTCCAAGAAAACAATATCTCCAGTGGGGGCTCAGAAACTCAACCTGTAAACAAATGGAGGAAGAAAGAAAAGCCAAAAAAGCTCATGTTCTAATCCTACCTTTTCCGGGCCAAGGCCATATCAACCCTATGTTTCAGTTCGCTAAACGTTTAGTCTCCAAAGACGTCAAAGCCACATTGGTAACCACCGTCTTCCTCTACAACTCCATTCATTCCGACCCAACCAGCTCTATTGATCTCCAGACAATATCTGATGGTTTTGACGAAGGCGGCTTTGCTCAGGCTGGGAGCCCTGAGATTTACCTGTCAACTTTCCAGTCTGCTGGCTCGCAAAGTTTAGCAAGTTTAATCAATAAACTAGGTGATGATGGTCATCCCCTTGATGCCATTATTTATGATGCATTTATGCCTTGGGCACTCGATGTTGCAAAGCAGTTTGGGTTACGGGCAGCAGTGTTTTTCACGCAGTCTTGTGCTGTTAACAGCATACATTACCATGTAAGCAGAAGACTTGTCAGGCTACCACTTGAAGGACCTAATGTTTCCTTTCCTGGATTGCCTCTGCTTAAAGTTTCCGAGCTGCCATCTCTTGTGTATTATTATGGATCATACCCGGCCTGGTTTGATATGATCGTGAATCAATTCTCCAACATTGATGCAGCAGATTGGGTTCTTGTTAACACTTTTTACCAATTGGAGAAAGAGGTACAAATTCCATCCTGTAAAATTTCTTTTTCCAACATTTGAATCGTGAGAAATCATCTGTTATCGCTTTTGATTTAGGTTGTAGATTGGATGTCAGAAATTTGGAAGCTAGGGACAATAGGACCAACCATTCCATCCATGTACTTGGACAAGAGGCTGAAAGATAACAAACATTATGGTATAAGTCTCTTCAAGCCAAACACTAGCAGTTGCATGAGTTGGCTGAATAGCAAGCCAAATGGTTCTGTGGTCTATGTCTCATTTGGGACCTTGGCAGAAGTAGTAGTTGAACAAATGGCAGAGATAGCTTGGGGTTTGAAAGAAAGCAATTGCAACTTCTTGTGGGTAGTGAGGGAATCAGAAGAAGCCAAGCTACCAGATAATTTCAAAGAGGAGATTGGAGAGAAGGGCTTGCTGGTGGCATGGTGCCCTCAATTGGAGGTGCTAGTACATAAGTCACTAGGATGCTTTCTCACTCATTGCGGCTATAATTCTGTTCTTGAAGCATTGGGTTTAGGGGTTCCAATGGTGGCAATGCCGCAATGGGCTGATCAAGCCACTAATGCAAAGCATGTTGAAGATATTTGGGGAACTGGGATTAGAGCTTTCCCTGACGAGAAAGGTATTGTCAGAAGAGAGACCATAAAACACTGCATAGAAGAACTAATAATGGGAGTATCAGAAAGAGCCAAAGAGATTAAGAAGAACACAAACAAGTGGAAGAATTTGGCTAGAGAGGCAACCGATGATGGTGGAAGTTCAGATAAGAACATTGATGAATTTGTAGCTAAAGTACTCTGTGCCTAGCTATTTCTATCCATGATTTCTTTCTCAATTATGCATGCTTTCAAAGCGTCATTCAATGAACAATTTAATAGCGGAACACATATAATTGCCTTGGAATGTGATTTGTGATTTCATAGTATTATTTTATTATATGTTACATTTCTCTATTTATATATAGTTATTTCATTAAATTAAAATTTTTGAGAACTTTTTTTTGGCACATATATAATAAAATCTACATTTATTAATTATTTGAGTAACCTTATATTAGGGAACATGCATATGATTCAATTATTGAAAAATTAGATGAAAATGAATTACTATCAATTAGATGATAATTACATAAAATAATATTAATGTATTTTGAGATTACTTAATTTACAATTTAACTAATTCCCTATTTAATAATATAAATTCGATAATTATCAATATTTATTGGTCTGAATGGTAAGAAGCTCGATTTCTTTTAAATAAGGTTTTGATTTCAAGTCAGAAAATAAATTTGAAAAAGTTTATCCCTTTAAAGGATTTGACCGAGCTTGATTCCGGATTGATTGAAGTCCAAAGTAGCTTTTGAACATTGAGAGTCTCGGACAAAAAAAAAATACGATAATTCTGTATCTATATTGCATCTAGTGAAATAAATATAAAATATTAAAATTATTATATCATAATTTATATCGACATACTAAATATAAAATTTTTTTTTTTTTATTTTTGTTAAACTCATAATTTTTATTAAAATTTTAAAATATATAATTTTATATTTTTTTATCATTTTTATATAATATTATCTGTTGTGTTTAAAATTAATAGATATAATATAACAACATCAGCTATGGAAACACAGCAAATCTCTATACAGTGATCGGAAGCCAAGTTCATATTCAAATCCAATATTGCCTTTCCTATTGCAGTTAATGGTGTAAAATTGTAATCAAATTTATAATTCATAAAACAATAAAGCTATTCAATTTATACAAATTAAAATTTTTGGATACTTAATTGTTCCAATCAAAATCCGTACAATTTGTCCTTTTTGTAATTCCCAACTGACCCTTCTCAGTTTCTTTATTCCACATATAAAAAAAATTTCACTATATTTTGATTTTTGAGGATCAAAATTTCAAAATTCTTTGCTTTTTTTTTTTTTTTTGAAAGTGGGTCTCAGTCCATAGGAACCTTTTCTAAAAAAAATGTTATGAAATGGTAGATGATGAGGCGACGGATTCAATAACTTCATGGAGCCAAAATGATGATAGTTTTACAATTTGGGATATGACTGAATTTTCAGTTCATTTGCTTCCAAAATATTTCAAGCACAGCAATTTCTCTTCTTTCATTAGGCAACTCAATATTTTTGTCAAGTTTCCTCTTGTTGGGTATTTGTTTTTGCTATAAACATGTCAAAGTTGGGTTTTCTTTTTTTTTTTTTTTGTGTTTGAGTTTGGATTTTGGAGTTTTGAATTGGGTTTTGAGTTTTAGTTTTTTTTTCTGAGAGCTTGTTTGTGGTGTTTTGTAGTCTTGGATGTTACATTCTAAGTAATGGGAATTCAAGTTTCTGAGTCTAAATTTGTAGAGGATTTTTTGCTTGTTTCCAGTTTCTGATATAGAAGGGGAAAGGAATATTTGCTAGCACTAACAGTATTTCTAGGTGAACTTTTTCTCAAATTTGCTGTAATTGTTAGTAAATTTAAGAAAAACAGAAATAGTATGGTTTTGATGCTTGAATAACACTATCTTAAAAATAATTATGTTTATAAGATACAACAAAACCTTAAAACTTTCTAAATCAGAAGTAGTGAAATTGGTCAGTCAGAAAGATCTATTTATAATAAATGAGCAGTAATTAATCAAGTCAATTCAAAAAGTCATAACATTTTGTATAGTTATGTTTTATTGTTTAAATAAATTTTATTTAAACAATCATGTTTTTCACTCTTCAAATATATTTATTCAAAATCATATTTATTCAAAATCAGTAATATTTCGAAATAAATAAATAATAATAATAAAAATTTAAAAATTAAATCTATTTGTCAAACAAGTCCAAATGCCCATCTTTGACTTTTAAAATTATTTAACCCACTAAAAAAACTCCTAGCAAATCCAAATAACTTGACCTACTCCAATACTTAATTCAATTATTTAAATAATATAAGTAATTTCTTTTAAACCATATATAAGTGATCTTTCTACTCAACGTAAGATACATCACGTTCTAAACTAACAACAGTAATGGTAAGAGCAGTATCAATTTGGATTTTGCAATTGGAAAGAGCAAAAATGGTAGTGAATTGATGGTTTTATTGACCTTGTTACCTTCTTTAATTGTAATGTTGAGCCAAACGAAGTATGACTAAGTTTTGGTAGATAGATCCTTTCATTTTCATGGGTACAACTGTACAATTTTGGTGAGCAAAATAGCGTTTCTGTTCCTTTTTATTGTGCACGTCTGTATCTGTTTGTATGGCATCAGATAGTGTTTGCTGGGTGAGTTTGTGTGGGTGTTCTATTTGAACTGTTAACCATTATTGAAGACATTGGTAACCCATAATGCTTTTCCAGGGTTTTAGAAAAATTGATACAGATCGTTGGGAATTTGCAAATGATTTGTCAGAGGTCAAAAGGACTTGCAGACGGAAAAACTCCCAGGGATCTGAGCAGAGTAAAACATTTCAGCAGCATGAGAACTCTGTTGGATTATGTGAAAAGAACGAAAATATTGGGCTGTGGAAGGAAATTTGAGAATTTGAAGACTGGATAAAAATGCTCTTATGCAGGAATTGGTTGGACTTAGGCGGTACCATGAGACTGCAGACAATAAGTTGCTTCTATTGAAGAACCATCTTCAAGGAATGGAGAAAGGTCAGCAGCAGTTGTTGTCATTCTTAATAATAACCATGCAAAGATCGGGCTTTTTGGTCCAATTGATTCAACCAAAAGAAAATAATTGGCGCATGGCTGAAGCAAGCAATATGCTAGAACAAGTCATAGAGGATGGTGAACCAGTGGCTTCTGATCATATGATAGTAAGGTTTCAGCCACCAATGGGTGGAACATCAACGCCACTACTCACCCCAATTATAGATTCTGAAAATCCTCTTGAATCTGATAATTCTTCAGATGGAATGAAGGATTTTTGAATGAATATTGATTTTGTGATAGTGCTTATGCATGAAAGTAATCACCTTTCATTCCACCAGATTTACATGATGATAGTGCATGGGAAAAGCTCCTTTGAGCTAATGCTTTTCCAGAGAATAATGACGATGGAAATCTAGATAAAGAAGAGCCCACCAACTCTGGTATGGAAATGAAGATAACAGGTTCTGGAACCCTTTTGGAAAAATCTTGTAGTTTTGTACTTTTACTACAGAATATGGGGAAATCCCAAAAACTCGAGATTGAACCAATGGTAAATGGATCACAGTTGGAGAAATCTCAGAACTTGGAAGTTCTGACAGAACAAATGGGACATTTGACTTCCAAAGTTACTAAACTACATGAAACTCCTTAGAAAGATACTTGGAAATTTTCAGGCATAATGTGGTGTTATCTCCTCACATCTTGTTTTCTCTCTTAATCTATATCCAATTTATATATAATTTTCTGTACATTTCTTTTCTTCTTTTCATTACACCATATCTAAATACATGTTCTTAATGAAAGAATTGCCTAGCAATTTGTACAATTGTAATACGAGGATGATATGGTTGTTTAACTCTGTTTATGCCAAGTAGCTCTAGCTATCAAAGGAAATTGCCTTGAATGAAATTAACATTTCAAACTTTCGGCTCTGCTCTCAATTGTTTATAAACCTATGTTGATATAGTCCTTAAATGATCTCAGCATTTATCATGATAGAAATTATGTGTTTGCATGAGAATATACTGTCTATGACACCTAACGGTAATTACCTACCAAAAAAAAAAAAATTACCGACTGGCTACTATACAATCATAAGTACTACCCTCTCTCTGTACTTTTTAAGTATAATTTTGTTGCACAAGGAAAGTGCTATATACAGAGATTATCACTTGATTTTATCATAATTGAATGAATTCTTTTTTTATATAATTGTTAATGCAGTGCATGACGTGCTTGCGAATATGCACACAAAAACATACATATGATTTTTAACACATACAATAATAATAATAAATTAAGTCTTATATCTTATAATTATGAGATTAATTGTATGAAAGAACAAACAAAAAATCATATTAGATTATAATTTTAAATTTTTTGCATTACTCATTTTTATCAATAACTACTTTTTCATCTATTTCATTAATTATCATATCATTTTTTATTATTTGTATCCATATGCATAAATAAACTTACGTTTCACATATTCAAATGATCTCAAACGATTTTTTTTTCATCTTTTCTTTAATTCAGACTATCCTTAATTTTCTTCGAATCTCTTAATTTTTTATTGAATCTCTTCTAATCTTTCCACAATATGATTTTTAACACTTACACAAAATACATACACTTGCATATGCAAGCACGAATCTGCTGTTCTTAATGCTGAGATTACTCTCTCTCTCTCTCTCTCTCTCTCTCTCTCTCTCTCTCTCTCTCTCTCTCTCTCATGGTGTGCACGTGTGCTTTGTTTGTTTGTCTCTTTGTCAATATGGGACCATTTAGCTTGTCCATCAACAAAATTTCGAGTCTGGTTGAGATTATCAGCACCACCAATGGATTCCTAACTTGTTAACTTTGTATAGGATATTCCTGTGTAGTATTCAACTGGTGTATCTTCTTTCCTAAACTAGGCTGAATTACTCTGATTTTGCTCCAGTTGCTTCTATTAAAGAAATAATTTAACATGTGCTCCCTTGAAAAGATTATAAAGGAAATTTTAAAAATACCCTAATTAAAATGGATGGCTAGCAAAGTAGCAAATACTTCATCAGTGTTTTGGGTTCAAACAGTAAATCAAAACAAAAACAAGCACATGAATTGTGTTATGTTGCCAGCAAAAAGACGGGCACTTGCCCTCCTTGAATCACTCGACTACAGCAGGTAGCTTTCTTTGGTGGTTCTCATCTGTTAGTCAAACTTATGAATCTTTGCATTTTTATATCAGAAGAGTCGAGTAATAGTGTTAATACTCATCATATCTTTCCTTCCTAAATTTGTTTTGCTTCATGTCAAAATAATGATTTAATAAAGCAGTTGCAGGAGCACTTTGATCGCAGCTAACTCACAGTTAATGGCAATAAGAATAAAAGGAGAAAAAGACATCAAAGTTATGAGATTTAATTCAATTATGAACATTAAACATATAAAAAGAAGCCAACTGAGCATTAATTCATATAATAATAACCTCCTCATTCTTTTGTCAAGAACAAACACGCATTAACTTATGTAGAAGCAAAGATAACTATATAGTTCGGACAATAGTAGTAGGACCTAGGGATGGATAACCTTAGCCAGGCCAAAAGCAGCAGCAGATGCAATGGCACCAATGAAAGCAGTTTGGACAGCACTTTTTACGGGTTTGTTGCCAGTGAAGTGACCTTTGGCGTAGCCAAAGATGAGGAGTGCCACTATGGTTATGATCACCGACGCAGCCACAGCATCCCTAGCTTTTCGAATGAACATGTAAGGAAGGAGTGGCACCAATCCACCCAATATGTAAGCAATAGCAATGGTGAATGCGCTCTGTAATGCTCTTCCTGGATCTGGCTTCTCTAATCCCAGTTCAAACCTGCATTTACATCATTATTTATCAATAATTTCCTCTATATCTAGCTTCTCTGTTTCCATTGTTTTGAGTCAAACATACAGAGATACTGTTCCATTGTTAATAAAGAACCAATATTTTCATATATATATATATATATATATATATGTATGTATGTATGTATAAATTTTAGCTCTAATTACAATGGCATACTATAACAAAGCAAAAAGTCCTGACAACCAAGTTGCCCTTACCTTTCAGGAGAAAAAACAAAGGAAAATCAAGACTGGATTCGATCAATATCCTAAAGTGTCCCAAAAATAAATCTGTAGTTAATTATGATGATTCCGTTCCATTGAAGAATGAGGAAGGAATAACGTATTTGCAATAAGATAAACCTGACTGATAAGGACCACATGGGCCCTTGTCTTCATCTGAAAAGCGAAACCAGCTTTTGTCCGAATATTTCAAAAGCAAATTCGGCAATTCGGCTTTTCATTTGTCAAACAAGTCTAGTGTTGTTAATTCTGTGTTCAGTCACAGAAAAACAAACACTCGTTTCTTTTTTGCTCAGCCTCAGGCGGTGAGTCCCCACTAAACTTTGTAGTTTTAATGGTGTGTTTTTACTTAACTGTTCATAATCAATTCTACGTAGGATCTGAAACTGAAATGTCCTCATATATACCAAATTGTATTAATGGAGTAATGTTATTTTGGCTTAACATTTCAACTGTTGGATTGCTTACAAATGATATGAAAAACATTTTATTTTTTGTAAATAATTAGACAATCTAACTGTGCTGAAAACTTTGCAAGGTTTATCTAAATTTAAAGGGAGGGAATAAAAAACTTACTTCATCATAAAATCAAGCCAATCCTTAGGCCTTTTCCTTAGAGCATTGACCACAGGTGCACATTCATGTGGCTCCAACCCATACTCCGCCAGTATTTCAGCCACCTCCGCTGCCTCTGCATTTTCGAAACAAACCAAATTTTTACAACTGCATGTATGTCGTGAATATCTTTACTTTATACTTCATTTGGATTGCCGATGAAAAAAGATTTTCATCACACCATATTCGAATGACAAAATGACACGATGATACCGTGAAAAAACATCTAAATGAAGCATTAATCTATCACAAATTTAATCAAATGAATTACAAACTTTACTTATTACCAGTGTCAGGCACAGTAATTATTTCCTCTTCCTCTCTTTTCAACTCCCTTGCATAATGATCGGCCTCGCTTTTAGCCGCCAGATACCTAAAGAGCACAACATCATAATATTATACAACCAAAAAAACCTGTAAAATCCCAAACATATTCACACTTTACACTTTCTTCTTGTTGCAGTTTCTTAGTAACCACACAGTAACCCCATGGTGAACATATCAAAACAAAGATATCGGAATAATTAAAACAATGAAAAGTATACATACCCGCCAAGTCCCATAGAGATGGCACCAGCGGCAACCTCAGCGATGCCAGCAGTGAGAACAATGGAAGAGGTAGCATTGGCACCAGACAACCCTGCGGCAAGAGCAAAGGGCACAGTGAGACCATCGGATACTCCGATGATAATGTCACGGACGATCTCTCCAGCGGTGAAGTGCTTTTCCTTGTGCTGATTGAGAAGGCTTTGCTTCTCGGGTTCAATGTTTCCTTTGCTGTTTTCTTCTGCCATGGAAAAAAAATCCTGGGTGGTTTTTTCTTTTCCTTTTTCTTTGGTAACTATCTGATTGATAATGCCAAAACCCAACGGATGAAATGAAATAAATGGAATGTTGTAATTTAAAAAGGAAGTAAATGGGAAAACATTGGTCATTTCTGGCAAGTTGTCTTACATTCCAAAATTGTGAGCACGTGAGGAACAGCAAGGGTTTCTCTTTCAGTTTTTCTTCACCAAAGTGCTTAATTTTGTTTGGTTGTTTTGGATTATACCAGCCTGGAGCAAGAATAACATGAAATGAATCAAAAATTGAAACCCGTCAATGACCCAAATTAATTTTAATCCCAAAAAATCATACTATATGAACTTGAATTTTGCAATCACTTGAAATCTTATTATGGAACATAATTGAAATGTATAACACAGCTTGTCACTTAGACCATGTTTTTTTTAATTTTAAAATTTTTAATTTTAAAATTAATTTTTATAAGATATCATTATATATTTCGTCAATAAAAATACAATATATAGCATTTATATACCAACTAAGAAATTAAATATAAATTTTTTCATTAATACTATGAAATCAAATATAAACATCAGATGTTTGTTGATTCAAGTAATAAAAGGTTTATTTTTTTAAGTAAAATTTTAATTTCGAATCTTATAAATAAAAAAAACATGTTTAAGAGAATTTGTTCTTTTTATATAATTTGATTTGATTCAACTCTTAATTAATCAAGATTTAAAGTGATTTTTGAACAATAATAATTTCAGAATAAATAAATAAATAAATGGTAGATGCTATGGTTGTACGTACTAAAATCTCGAAATCCACGTACGAATTTTTGGATCCTTACCACTTGAGTTCAGCAAAGATTAAAAATTTTCTTGTTTAACTTATTGCTGAAGCTGATGCCAAAAAAAAAAAAAAGTAATTCTTTATTCATGTCTAATAGATAGATTAAAATGCACGTAACTAATTTATATTTATTATAAATTAAATTTTAAATTTTCTAAGTTGATTTATGGAGTTGTCCCATAGAAATTTAAAATTATTGTAATTTATTAATTATATTTCAATGGACATATGATAATCATATAAACCTGTTTGCATTAAAAAACTTCACCACCTATGTTTAAGACACTTTTTTAATTATATAGTAAATTAAATAAGTTTATATTTGATACATTATCAGTGTATAGATTTTACATTATTAATGAATCAAATAATATTATCTTATTAATAAATGAATATCAATTCTTAAAATAAATGTATAAAATTTTAATTTTTTTAAAAAAATTTATTCATTAATAATATGACATCATCTGATTTACATCATTAATGAGAAATCATCTTATTTATTATAGTATATAAAATCTATGCACTAATTGTGCATCAAATATAAACCAAATTAAATTGGATAAGAATTACATAAGTTTTATAAGTGAAGTTCGTGAAGTTTTTTATTAATAATAGTAAATAAAAACTTAATAAAAAATTCCAAACTAATAGATTGATGGAATTTAGTATGAAGATCAATAATATGTAAAAAAAATTATTAAAATATTGTTTATAATTCAAATTTGATCAATATTTATTCAACAATAAAAATTTTATCAATATTTTAATTAAAAATGTATATTTAATAAATATATCAAAATTTATTATTTTTTCAAAATTTGTACTCTTGATCTATGTGTTAAGATCTTTCAATCTATCATATTTAATTTTTTATTTAATTTTTATTTACTCATTTCTAACAAAAAATTTCAACAATTTCACCTATAAAATTTCATACAAGTCTTTTTCAATTAAATTCATCAAGCCCAAATGTCTTTCACCTTGCTTAGCATTCACAGTAATTAGAAATCACAGTGGAAACTAACTATAAATAGTTTTCTTTTTTGGCAAATTTATGTCATATAATACTTGCTAAAAAGAAAAAAAAAAAAAGAAACTAAAAAAAAGGATAGATATGCCCCAAATACTTTTTTTTTTTAAAAAAAAAAGAGGGCTACAAATTAAGCCAGAAACCCAACTACAAGCTCAAAATTAATTTTTGAAAGAAAGATGAATGTTATTGAGTGCACATATGCTGCTAATAGTTATTATTTGATAAGCTTAGCCAAGTAATAAGCAGCTGCAGAAGCAAAAGCTCCAATGAAAGCAGTTTGTATAGCACTCTTGAATGGGTTCTGCCCGCAAAGTAGCTTTTGGCTAACCTGAAAATCATTAATGCTACTATTATTCAAAACAATGGATGCCATCAAAGCCTCTCTTGCAATTGGAAACACCAGATATGGCAATAATGGCACCGATCCTCCCACCATGTATGATGTTACAATTGTTACTCCACTTATTAGTTCTCTCAGTGGATCTGGTTTTTCCAATCCCAGCTCGAACTTGCAATTATTTTTTTTTTTACATTTTCTCATTAATTTTTTTGTCTTGCAATAATCGTAACGATCGGAGCTTAAAATTTTATTTTGAAAGTTTTGAGTTCGAATTCTGAGATGATAGATGCTGTAGCAGCATCTGCATTTCAAAAGAAAAAAAAATCCAATTAAAGCATGGCTATAACTTTCTTCTATTGAAGAACAAAACTGATAGGTTCACTTCTTTTATGAGATACATGCAAAAGTTTCTCAATTATTTCCTTCTATATATCTTTTTTCATGAATATTACTTTTTATTACCATACTTTTTTATCACTTTTAATTTTATTAATTTTCACCAACTATATAACTCATCAATTCTAGCTATTTCACATATTAATTTGATTAAAATTATTTTTTGCATATATAAATATAATTTTGTTTTTATGGGAAAAAAAAATCGAAATTGGCTCTTTAATAAATTGTATAAATACATACATTTATAACTGAATATCGACCTAAACATTTTCATTGGCATTTATTTTAGGTCATCATGAGGAAAAATTAGCAACTAATTGACTAATTTCATCATTAAATGTTAACAAAAAAAAAAAAAAAGAATAATAGAGGATGGTACTTTTGTTCTGTTGGTAGTTTAAAATATTATGTATCCCACATTAAGTAAAAAAATCATTTATATGTGATTTAAAAGAGATTATTTATGTAAATTAAGTAATTAAACTAAGTGTTGGAGTGAGTCAAGTCATTTAGGCTTGCCAAGAATTTTTCTAGTGGGTAGACAATTTTTAAATCTTTTAAATTCTTTTGTTTATTTATTTATTTTGAAATATTACCAATTTTAAATAAACATGTTTTGAACAGAGAAAACATGACTATTTAAATAAAGTTTATTTAAACAAGAAAACATAACTATATAGAATGTCATGACTTTTTGAATTGACTTGTTTTGTGACTATTCATTTGTTATAAATAGATTTTTTTGCCTAACCAATTTTACTGCTTCTGATTTAGAGAATTTTTAAGGCTTTGTTGTATCCTATAGGCATAATTGCCTTTAAGATAATGTTTTTCATGCCTCAAAGCTATATTTTTTTCTTTCATATTATTTTTGTTTTCTTAAATTTTTTAATAATTTAAAGGTAATTATGGATATTACATCTACTATTATCCCTCCTGCTGCTATGGATTTGGAATCAAGCATGAAGATTTATTTTCAAAATCAAGATGTAATCAAACTTGATCGTTTTAATGGATCAAACTACACTAGGTGAAAGGATAAAATGATTTTTATGTTGATTGCATTGAAGATGTTTTATGTACTTAATCCAAATTTGAAATCAATTCCAAAACCAACTTCTGAAGATTCTGATGCTATTAAGGCAATAAGAAGTAAACGTGAAGAAGATGAACTAGTCTGCCGAAGTTATATTTTGAATTCGTCATCTGATTGTCTATATGATCTATACAAAAAGATGAAAACACCAAAAGAGACATGGATTGCTCTTAAACACAAATACATTAACAAAAAGAAAGGTACTAATAAGTTTCTGGCTTTGAAATACTTTGAATTTTCAATAGCTGATGACAAATCAATCATAGACCAAGTGCACAAGTTGCAAATTTTGGTTTCTAAGTTAAGTGAGCTAAAATTTAAAATTCCTGATTCATTTCAAGTTAGAGTTATTTTGTCAAAACTTTCTCCTTTTTGAAATGGATATAGGAAGAAAGTTATGCATTCAACAAATAATTTCACTATTGAAGAATTTTATACTCACATACAGATTGAAGCGAAAAATCATGCAAGAGATACACTTTTTTTTAGAGGTTCCAATATGAACTATATGAGTGGACAAAATTCTGAAAAAACTCACATGTCTTGTGGTAAATTTCAAAACAATTTTAAAGTCAAGAATAATGGATTTAAGAATCCAAATTTAACAAGAATAAAATATGTTTCCATTGTAGAAAGAAATGATATTTGATTAAAGATTGATATTTGATTAAAGATTGCAGATTTAAAAATGTTGAAATTAAGATTGGTTCTAGTTTTGAAAGCCAAATTTGGACTATTTTAAACTGTGGGGGTGCATTGTCTTTTATAAAATACCTAATCCTCATAAATCAAAATTTAGACCTAGAGGTATTAAAAGTATTTTTGTTGGTTATGCACAGAATTCAAAACATATAGACTTCTTGATTTAAATACTAATGTTATTGTCGAATCTATTCATGTATAATTTTTTGAAAATAAGTTTATATGTGATATTGAAATAGAGAAACAAATTGAAATGATTCCTATGACTAAAAATAAAATAAAAGAAAATAATGATTCTATTGAACTTAGAAGGAGTAAAAGAATTAGAAAAGAGAATATTTTACCTTCTGATTTTGTTTCTTCAGATTTTATAATGTTCCTAACAGAAGAAAATAGAATCAAAGTGCTTAATAAAACACTAATTCTACTAAATGTAGATGAAGACTCTAAAACATTTAATAAAGCTATGACTTCAAGAGATATTGCTTTTTGGAAAGATGCTATTAATGATGAAATGGACTCAATTTGGTAGATTTACTCCAGGTTCTAAATCTATTTAAAAAAAAATATAATACAGATAGTTTTGTACAAACTTTTAAAGCAAAATTAGTTGTAAAAGTTTTAAACAAAAAAAAAAGGCATAAGTTATTTTG